GAGCTATTCCAATTATAGTGGCAATTTGTGTATTGCATAATATATGTAGGAGGAGGAATGATGTGCTGACTGATAGTGAAGATGGCAGTAATCACGCGGAGTCAGAAGATAAAAATTTAAACAAGGTCACTAGAAATCAAGATAATTTTGCTGTAAGAAATGCTGTCACTCGTACTGCATTTATTAATTAAATAAAATGTTTATTTTAAAATTATTTACGGTTCAATAAAACATAATATAAGAATTATGAGTGTTTTAATTATTGTATATGTATTTTTAATTTAACAAAAAAAGTGTTGACAATTCAAATAGTCACAGAAATAAAATTAACTTAATTGTGTCAACTTTTTCTTATTAAACTCTGGTAATAAATCTATGAAACAAACTAAATATAACACCAGTAACTTAATGAATATGATATTTATGATACTATAATGAACATGTATTTTTATTACAGAATTTTTCTACAATAAATACATACTTATAAGAAAGTGTTTATACCCACTTGTAACAGATAACTTTGTGAAAAATAGGCAAAATGTTACGGGATCTATTAGTATTTCATTTATTTATAATATTCTCAAGCGATACATTGTCATTTCAAGGAAGTCATGAAAATAAGATCATATCAGCAAGTAGATACATAATCCTTTCATTTTACGGTATTTGAAAAACAAAGTATGTACATATATTTCAGTTTCATTGTTCAGTTTTTTGTGTTTATTATTATTCTTGAGTAAGTGTTTGATTTTAAGACGGCAAAATGGAATTTGTGTTGTAAAAATATTAGATGAAATAAGCATTCCTTAACTTTTCCAGAGGACACAGCAAGGTTTGTAAATTATTATTTCCTCTTAAATATTGTTTGGGTACCAGTATATGATGTCATTTATATGATACTTCTACAATAATAAGATAACCAATTTTTATTTTAATAACTAATTTACAATAATATAAAATTAACCAAACGGTATTAAATTTCTAAATTCTCGAACTCAACCCCATATTGATGTTTCAGTTGTAGAATCTTTTCTTTAACTGCCAACTCTTTTGTGTCTGTTTCTCTTTTCTCTGTTTCCGTTTCTGTTTTTCTAATTTTAAAACGTCTCTACTTAACTCTTCCTTTTCTTTTCTAATTTTAAGAATACTTAATTTTATTTTTTCCTTCTCTGAATCTTCTTCACACTTATTATTCTTTTTGTGATGTGGGACTTAAAGGCAAACTAAATGCACGACCAAATACTTACCATGTCGAGATAGCATTATGAGGTTTTTTCCTGGTTTTCCCCTCATAATTTACTATGGAATCACTAACAGGAGAATTTTACTGTCATCATGGCATGTGTTTGTCTTTTTAAAGATGAATTACATGCTATGATTTTTTTCTGACAGATATTCTCAAGTTAATGTTGATTTCATGTAATGGAATGAACTATCTTATAAGTAAAGTCGTTCCAAGAGCACAACTCAACAATATTGGCAATATCATTTTAAAGTCGTCTACTTTAAAATGCATAATGTATGTCTGAATTGTCAATATAAATGAGTCAGATAAAATTAAATTAGAAGAATTTTTCAACAAAAAAACAAAATTTGTTTTTAGGGTTTGTATTTTGAGAACAATTTCTGAAGTGGAAATTGAAATGTTAATAAACATATTTTAACCTTTAATTGGGGCTTATTCCCAGTTAAATAGTAATTAATTTAAAATGCCACATAGAAAATATCTTAGATGGGGCTGGAGACTTTCGAACCAAATGCAAAGACAATTCTCTCGATAACTTAAACATCTTTTGAAATACGGCTTTAACTAATTCCACTGGATTTACCAAATCTCGCAAAAGTCTTCTCTGAATGTTTTCTTCATCCCTATCAATAAAATAATTTTGTTTACAAAACATAACCTAAATAAATAATATACTATCAAAGAATATAGACGCTTATAAGCGTCTATATTCTTTGATACTATAATTAAAAATATCTTTAACAAACCTTCTAATAGCATCATCTAATTCTTCTAATAACTCATCGTTTAGAATCCGGCCAAAATTCTGGACTAAATAATTCATTTTATATTTTTATTAACTACACGTTATTCCCATCTACAAATAGTATGAGATTAAATCATCTCTTTAAATTGAACCTGTTATCAGAGAATATAATATATTATGTTAGCAAGATAACGTAAAACGTTACCACATAACGTTTTTTTTTTACAAACGTTATCTGTGATACATGATACATCACATCAATTTTTAGAATATAACGTAAATGCAGGTTAACGTGCACGTTATTTAACATTTATTTTATTTATAAAACATTTTTGTTTTGATACATCCATCCAATCACAGGGCTGATTTTTAAGATTCAAATTACGTCACAGGAGTACAGTTCAGCTTAATGTTCATTGGTTAGGCGGAAGAGGCAACCGGAGTAAGTCTAGGAACCGTGGGTGTACAGTGTTGGCACGTTTTTATAATATATATGCTGTATGCTTCAAATATAAAAAGATGAAGTTCCGTGGAGGTTAACTCAAGGCTATCTTCATGTTGCACTGTTTTGTAGAGCTACCCAATCAATTATTGTATATAATTGATTGGGTAGCTGTATAAACGAGGTGGTTTATAAAGACATTTTTGCCTTTGGAAAATATGTATTATCTTTAAACGAACTATAGTGTGTAGTTTACATACTCCTTAACGACTTTGTTGTTCGTTTTTAAAAATGGAAAACGTTCGTTATTTAAAATTTATTTGCTAATCCAGTCACTTTCTTCTTTATTTTTAACAACTATCCTTTCTTTAGTATTTTTTATCTTAATTATTTGTTTATAGGTACTTTGTTATTCATTCTAAATATGTTTATATAGGATTAAGCCCACAATTAGTTGAAATGAAAATTATATTTTTAACTAAGTAACTTCTTTGATGTTTCGATTTCCACTCCGGATATCGTTTTCAAAAAAGAAGTACCTAGTATAAAATACCTAAAAAGGTATTTTAAAAATTTTGCGAAAATGCGTAAGCAAGTTGTTAGTATCTATAAGTTATGTTTTTCAAAATTGATAGTTGACTGACTTGGCCTCTCTTATTGTGTGGTATTTCTACCTAGAATACCTAGGTATAGAATGTTAAGTTCTGATTTTTTTGTGTAATATGTGCTTACGCGGATTATGTTTGTGTATAAATTGTAGTTGATCTATATGTCGCCAACTTCCTATTAATTCGTTACTGTTGGAATTTTCTTTTTATTAACTTCTTTCAGTATTGACGAACAAAGCCTGCTACATTCTGCTGATGAGTTTGTTACACATTTTTTCTTTTTGTAGTATGGGAGCAGCTTCTTTGATTTTTCTCATGATTATCGATGTATCTTTTCATTGTACCCTGTGCTCATTCTCCAGGCATGTTTGCATATCTGAGATTTGTCGAAGTCTGTTTCATGCTTGTTTATCCTGACACTTAGTGGTTTTGCTGTTTCTCCCACGTATAAATTGTTTCATTCACAGGATATTTTATAAATAGAGTTCTGTGATCTTTATTGTGCGTCGTCGAGTATGGTTTTAGATAGATCTAAGTGTAGTGGTTTTTTTGATGCACTTATTTCTTATCCTTTTTATTTTTCTGAAAACCCGTTACATATATGATATTCTCATTTTCGAATCCATTCAAGTGTTTCTGGATTGCTTGTGGTAAGTTGTTATTTCTTTTAATCAGTCTTGTGAAATTTCTTGTTTATAAATTGCAATGGTTGAGTTTACCGAAAGTACAAGCTGAATATAGCCGCAAATGTGAAAAATATTTGGGTTTGACAGTGTTGGGATGTTTTTTCTAATCCATATCTTGTATGCTTCAAATATACAGAAAGAAAGCTTTTAAAAAGTATATTTTGTATATACTATTTTATGAACTCTGCAATATTTAATTTATATGAAGCAATAACGAGTAAATATTTGTATCTTTCGAGATTAATTGCAAACATCTGTTGCTATCTGGCAACTGCTGATTTGACGATTGACAAATCTATTCCTTAATATATCAAAGGGTAATTGCCTAATAATTAACTGCAATTAATCTCCAAAGAAACAAATACTTACTCATTCTTGTTTTATAAAATCAAAAATTACAGAATTTATAACATTCTTCTTCTTCTGGTTCCTATCCGCTTCGGATGTTGGAAATCATATTGGCAATCATAACCTTGCTCGCTGCGGCTCGAAACAGCTCCGTTGAGGTTTTCTTAAACCATGTTCTTAAATTCCGCAGCCATGATATTCTCCTTCTACCGGGTCCTCGCTTACCTTTGACTTTACCTTGTAATATAGACTGTAGCAGACATTTATAACATAATATAAACCAAGTTTCTAAAGCTTTCTTTTTATATTTGAAGCATACAGCATCTACATTATAAAAACATGCCAACACTGCTATACCAACATGATTTGTTCCATGTTTGACATTTGCGGCTATAATCAACTTATACTTTCGGTAAACTCAACCATTGCAATTGTTTAAAAATATTTTATTCTATGTAAATCCATAGCCATAAGTTTTAATTTGCACAGACGGCAACCCTGTAAGCACTAAACGAAGCCATTGCAATTTTATATAGGCAGTATGTTTTCATACGAGCACAATAGGGAACGTGTGAAGAGATTTCGTCCAAGTTATTTCCTCATCCTATCGATCGACTATTTACCATCACGATTAAATTAAACAGCGGTCAATGAATTTTAGTCAATAATTTAAACATACAATGATTCTGATATTTTGGCAACGCTGTGGGGTTCTGATGTCAAAAAATCTTAAATGACGTAATCTTAAAGTTATACTGTACTGTTCATAGTAAACCAAATGCAAAAATCTGCATGACGGAAATAGTAGCATAACACATGAATGAAGACACAAAATAGCATGATGCAGCTATGTCGTCAGTGTCTTCTGAAGAATAATGACATAAGACATTAATAAACTACAATAAAAAACATCATTTATTATTTTGTCAAATACATATTTTAAATCACACTATTCATTACAGATCTCGTTATTATTTTTTCCTTCGTCCTCCCTCTTTTTCAGTCTTAAACATTTCGGACACTCTGATTTTATTGCAAAACAATGTTTGTGAAGCACAGCTAAACAACGACCACATGAATAACAACCATTGTCAAAAGGATATATAATCCCCTCATTATTGCAGATCTCACAAATGTGTCCTCGTCCTTTACAAATTTCGCATTTTACTTTGATATGTGTCTCGAATATGTCTACTATGGACTGCAACTTGCATGGTAATTCGCCTGAATTTATATCCACCAGATCTTGTAGACTGTACATGTCAGAACTGTCTAATAAATGGGGAGTATCCACATTTTTCCTTAACAACCTCTCTTCTATTGACTTTCTACAGACTGATAAATACTTCTTCATCCCTATTAAAGTCTGACGCAATCTTCTAACGAGGTCTAATTCGTGAACTAATAAGAACAACTTGGAGTTAAGTTTGTTTAAATGGATAATAGGCCTGCGGGAAGTTATTTTTAGTAGCTGCAAGGCTGCTTGTGAAACTGGCTGTGGATCAAAGTCCCAGTTGTGGACGACCCTGGCCGGAATAATGGCGGAACTACTCCAATGGCAGGCTGTGCAAAAGTAGAGGCCACTGTAATCACATCTTCTAGCTTCAGACCAATCTCTATCTGAAAAATTCGAAACAAAAATATTTTAATGTAAAATTTATATAAAAGATAATATGGTGATCAAGGAATCATAGACAAAAACTGAAAAATATCTACATACTTAAAAAGGATTGAACAAAACAGGTTCTTTTACTATCTAATTTATCCTCATTTTGTAACCAAAACGTTTAAATCAGCTATTTTCTACACTAAATCTTATATTTATATGGGATTACGCCACAATTTATTGTAATAAAATTACATTTTTACCAATTTTTATTTTCCACTCAAAACTAATCGTTAAAAAAATTATTTCAAAAAATAGTGATGTGCGTTTTTATAACCGAAAGTTCGTTAGGCTTATATCTTAGACAAGGAAAGAGAGGGGACGCGTACTCGTATGGAATTGACCGAAGCCTAAATTGGCACTAACCGGCACCAAAAAAGTTGTCACGTCATATTTTATTTCTTCAGTAGATTGACAATAACGAATAAGATTTACTTCGTATATATGTATATATATATATATATATATATATATATATATATATATATATATATATATATATATATATATATATATATATATATACGAAGTAACAAGAAGTCGAAAGACCTCTCTCTGATAGCAAATTAGGTGACCGCAAATTCAAAGCCTATTTCTAGAGGCTTTTAACGACGCTAGAAGTATCTTTTTACTTCGACATGCATCTACGATTCACCTTTCAAAAATACTATCTTTTTCGCTCTTTACGTCTACGCAGAGGAAGACGTTTAAATGAAAGTAAAAGATTGCATTTCATTTCACTCGAAACTCCACCATTGCTCTACACGTGTTTCGAGTTATTCAACTCATCATCAGGAACACTTGTGGAAGTTCAACTGAAATGAAATGCAGTCTAGTATTTGCTCATTATAACCAAAATAACAGCCAGGTACGCTAGCAGCGACATCTATACGAAGTAACAAGAAGTCGAGAGAACTCTCTCTCTGATAGCAAATTAGGTGAACCGCAAATTCAAAGCCTCTTACTACAGGCTTTTAACGACGCTAGAAGTATCGTTTTACTTCGACATGCATCACAATGATCACAACACATAATGATCACTTTTTGAACATGATTTTATCGTTACATATTACATATTTTTTAGTGGATCGATTAGTGTTTCAGTAAATCAGTAGATCTACTGAAAAATCAGTAGACCTGATAACCCTGCGAGAGGTAGTAATGGGTAACGTACAGGCACAAAACATGGCGGTCACATCGAAACTGGCTTCACTTTTTTATTATATGTTTATGTATTGTAGGTGTTGTAATATATGTATGTTAGAATTGTACACAATGTCCCCAACTTTCTATTAATCCGTTAATGTTGGTATATTCTTGTTGCTAACTTAGAGCGTCCTACATTGGCTGATGGGTTTACTACATATAAGACGGATGACAGCTGCTTCGTTAATTTTTCTCTTTTTTTTCATGCCTGTTTTTCATGCTTATTGATGCATCCTTTCAGCTTACTCTATGTTTATTGATCCAGGCATGTTTGTGATTTGTCGAAGTCCCTGTTTTTGATGTATTTTTCATGCTGGTTTATCCTAACATCTGGTGACCTTGCCGTTTCTCCCACATAGAAAGTGTTGCATTTACACTGTATTTTATAGATGCAGTTGTTTGATTTCTCTTGGGTGTTGTTAGATTTGGTTTTGGACAGAATAAATCTCAGTGTATTGGTTATTTTGAATGTTGTTGTGATGTATTTATTTCTTATTCTTTTTAATTTTTCCGTCCTTTATATATGCTATTGTTGTCACCTTTATATTCCTTCCTGTGAGCGTTTCTAGATTGCTTTTGGTGTACTGTTGTTTCTCTTCTTCAATCTTGTATAAAACGGAAAACTTTAAATATAAGAGTGAATTAGAGATGGATGATACTGTTTAAGTCTTAAGATATCATCAATAATCTCTTATTATTTTTGTTACAATTATTAATTGAAATACGAAAATACATTATATCTATTTTCGATATATCTTATCTCAAATAAAACCAGTTTTATTTCGTCCGTTTTTCCGTTTAGACACCTGGCCGAAAGGTTGCTACTTGACCCACTTTAAAAAGGTTTATTTGTTTTCGGAAATCGTAAAAGGCAAAAAATATTTCAGTTTAGTGTTTTATTTATGCATTTTCGTAATTCGGCAAAAAATAGTTTATTGCTAAAATAATTAACGCATTGAATTAAAATACGTTAAGTTCATTACAAGATGTTAAAACAGGTGGAATTAGCGGTTCTTCGCTCATTTCTATAAATTAGTGGATTGGCGCGGCATTTGAGACACCTACTTTGATTCCCATGCGGGACAGCCATCCCGGCATTTCAGTAATGTATAAGTGCATAGCATCTCGGGCACTTCTCTCGCTAACTCAAGGTATAATTTCAATTCACTTCGCAAATATACGCACTACGTATATTTCTTTCGTATATAGCAGAAAAGTAAGTAGTTAGTTTTAGTTAAATACTTTTGTAATAAGTATTTTTTTGCAACAGTGCCTTGAAAGTTGTTTCGACGAAGGATTTTTTAATTAAAGCCTTCATACTTAGCAAGTTCCAACGTCTGGTTCTCTACTTATGTTGTAGACAGGAAACAAATTACAACAGAATTTGGCACGTTCTGATGGGACAACTCGTAACATAATTTGGTACGCCCTGGTAGGACAACACCATTTGATTACTTATTGCCAATTTGACTTAGAAATTGTTTCGACGAAGAATTATTTAATTTAAGTATTCGTACTCAACGTCGGGCTCACTACTTGTGTTGTAGAAAGAAGACAATTCACAACAGATACATTGGCAATAAAAATAAACTGAATGTATCAGCTTTCATGGAGCTATAGTTTGTCAAATCTAGGAATGACTTTGTTGATGCGCAGTAAAATTACCGGAAATTATTTTAGTAAAAGAAGTAAGCTCGAGCAGAGTACGTTAAAGAATCATGTAGATGAGTCTCGGCATTCATCTATTTCTTTCGCCCCGAATACTTTCTCTCTGTTCTCTGCGCAGATGGGTAAAATTTCGAAAGTAGTTTATATCCTTGACAACTAATTCTAACATTTTGCACACACTACACTTATTTTCAACAATGATTTTTGCGAGCAAAATTTCGAACTGGCCATGGGCTCATCCTTATATTCATATAAGGATATATTATTCATCCACGATATTCATGATGATGCGTTTTATCACACGGACCAGAAGCATTTAATAAATTTCTGATGGACATAAACAATAAAGAAAAATCAATAAAATTCACCATGGAAAATAAAAACGACAATTCACTATCTTTTCTGTATGTATCCAGAATATGCAACTAAGAAAGTTTACAGAAAATCAATTCACACCAACAGATACTTAAATTACCACCCAAACCATAGCGTAAACATCAAAAAAGGAATTATCAAATCATAATATGATAATATATCAGAAAGAAAAAACCTTTCGTCATTCGTAAACAAGAATTTCACAATATTGAAGAAAGGAAACAACCAAACACCGGAAGCTATCCAGAAATGCTGACAAGAAGGGATTCAAAGATGACAAAAATGCCATATGTAATATGGCTTATCGGAAAAATTAAAAATGATAGGAAATAAGTACAATATCACAACAACATTCAAAACAACCAATACATTGAGATCTATTTTGTCTAAAACCAAACATAACAACATACAAACGAGTTTAAATAACTAATTTCCCAAATTTCTATGTGGGAAAAATCCCAAGACTCATAAGTATTAGGATAACCGAGCATGAAACATACACCAAAAAAGAGATTTTGGCAAATCACAGATATACAAAGATGCCTGGGAGAATGAATGTACAGTATAATGGAAAGATACATCAATAATCATGAAAGAAATGGACATCACAAAGAGAAAAATCAAGAAACAGCTCTCATCCTACTTAATGAAGAAAAATGTGTAGCAAATCTATCAGCAGAATGTAGCAGGCTTTGGTTGCCAATACTAAAAGAAGTCAGCAAAAATAATATACCGATATTAAAAAATTAATAGAAAATCCGAAACACATCGTGTACAATTATAACACATAATACACAAACAAATATACAAACACAAAGTACATTCGATATCAAATGAGGGTAAAAACTCTACTCTTAGAATTTTCAACTAAAACTAGGCTATTTGCCTACAAGATCGAGGCCAAAGTAAGTCACCCGCCAAGCTTGAAAAAAACATAACCCAAAACAACTTTTGGTTATAAAAACACACCTCACTATTTTTTTAAATGGTCTTTTTCGAAATGTTAAATAACAGTTAAAAATGTAATTTTCGTTACAATCAATTGTGGTTTAACCCCATATAAATATAATATTTAAGTTAGATGTGCCAAAAGAAAACTGTTTCAGAGTTATTTTTTAATTATTTTTGTTATTTTTATTTGTTTAATCGGTTCAATTTGCACTGGTTCTTATTGAACACTTTCTATATTGATTTATTTTGATATCTTTTTCGTAATTTTCCTATGTAAAAGTCAAATATAGCAAAAACGTACAACAAAATAACAATCTAAACCCTATTCCGATTGCAAATTCCCAACAAAAACAAATTATCGAAGACTGACACGCACGTGTTCCAACAGTACTCGTCTTCTCATTCGCCAAAAGACTATTAAATATAATTATCGCCTTGAGCGAGCATGATTGTCATTTTACGGGTCCATACTGCTCAGTTTGATTATATTCAAATTGTAGTGTGTTGATTTATATATTTTGTATAATTGATGGATTCGACCGTTACTTGATGGAAATTCATTTTATGTAACAATAAAACACTGAAAACTTTGTTTTCAAACTTCCACAAAATTTATTTTAAATATTATCACTACAGCTGTTTCGGCTGATTGCCTTTCTCAAGTGATCTATTTTGGCTTGGGTTTACAAATTTATAGTCTCTAATGAAATAGGTTGAGGAGGGGAGAACTGTTTGTCTCAAGTTGGTCATTCAG